ACAATTTTTAAATATACTATATATACACATATATACATATACATATATATTATACACACACACACACACACACACACACACACACACACACACACACAAATATGTGATTCTACTTCATATGCCAATTATTTAACAGCCAAGGAATGTTTTTCCCTATGGGAAAATTGACCCAGAGATAAATATCCTCACTTCCAAAAAATGTGCAAAGTGAGAGGAAAACAAATAATTTAAAACCATATCCTTAAAGCAGTGACTTAGCTGGCCATCAGCTTCCCTTCATGTCAGAGGTTCGTTAAGGAAGCGGCTGTCTCAGGGCCATTTGGGGGCAGAAGTCAGCCTGGAGTACAGGTGTCGAGACTCCTGGAGAAGTTCGTTTCTTTCACTTCTCTTTGAATGAAATCAAGTGCAGTGTTCTCCCCTTACCCACAGGGGATGCATTCCCAGGGCCCAGGGGGTGTCTGAAACCACTGATAGCACAGAACACTGTATACCCTGGTTTTTTCCTATATGTACATACCAATGTAAAGTTTAATTTATAAAGGAGGCACAGTAAGGGATTAACGACTGTAAAAATAGGACAGTTATAAGTGTAATAAAAGTTATGTGAATGTGGGCTTCCACTCTCAAAATATCTCATGATTGTACACTCCCTTCTTCTTCTGATGATGTGAGATGATAAAAATGCCTCCCTGAAGAGATGAAGTGAGGTGAATGACAAAGGCCTGCAATGTAGGGTTAAGCTGTCATTGACCTTGTGACCCTATGTCAGAGGCGGATCGTCTCCTTCAGGACCACAGTTGCCCATGGGTCACTGAAACTGCAGAAAGATAAACCGTGGGTAAGGGGGTTACCGTATAGCCATCTTTCAAAAGTCACATCTTTTTATTGTCAACCCTCACTGTTAGTAATAATTATTTACAAGTGGAAATCAGTGGCGAAAGGAAAACCATGCTTAGGGAGAGAGCCGTCATGGGCACGCACAGTTCGTTGCACACTCACACACATCCTCACGGTCTCAGCCGGCCTTGAGAGTGTGACCCAGCATGAGTAAAGCCACAAGGAATTTCCATTCACCCATTAAACAAATATTTATTGAATAACTAGTATGTGCCAAGCTTCATATTTCTTGCTGCTGAATAGCCTCTGAGTTCTCAGGTCATTTATTTTAAGGAAGGAAAATACAGTCTGCTATTCTTAAACCCAAGTACATCAGCAAAAGAACTGATTTTGATTCTTGTAATGAATTTGAGAGTTGTGGGCAGGGCAGCAGAGTGATAAAGGAAGAGATTTTTTTTCTTAAATTAAGGCTGGTAATAGTTAAGTCCATGTAGTAATTGCTGTGCAACATTTAACTGATTTGTGAGAATAGTAATTAATATCTCTTCCTAGTAAGTGAATACTTAAAATCTACTTAAAGTAGAGTGTCAGCAGAAATAGGCTCTTAGGCTGTTGAGAAAAGCTATGAAAGCCTTTGGTAGCTTCCTCTGTTAGTATACGACACCACACCCAGGTTTAGTGGTTACTTGTTTGACCTCGGTAATAAATTAGCTTCTTGCTTTGGGTGTGAGAGTGCCCTCAGTCAAACAAGGCCGTCTTAGAATAATACATTGTTCAGATGCCCAACTGTTGTGGGAAATGGGGGAAATGGTTAAAGAGAGTGCTAGTCGGGCTCGGACCCTGGGACATAAGCTGTAAAGCACATGTGTGTGGAGGGGCCTCCAGGGAGTGGCAGCTTGCTTACTGAATGCTGCCAGG